CATTAAAGAATATATTTTTTTTTGTTTAAGATGTTTTGAATAAATATAAAAAGAACCTATTTTTCTAATTAATCTTACTTTTTTCTTACCCTCAAAAGTACCATAATGGTTTATATTGAACGCTGAAAATGTACTGTCAGTTGCTGATGATCTATTTTAATAGGCATACAAGTCCACATTCTTTACTTGTGTCATGTGGACATTTGCCAAAAAAGGAGACACGTTTATCACTTTATATGTTGTCTTCACTGGTTCCTCCTTTTTGCCCCAAATTTTTAAATAAACCTTTTTTTTTTTTCATTACATTCCTTATTTTCGACTCAGGGTCATCATCATTGGGTCTCAGTGCTTTGCAATGCAATGAATGCATATTATGGCAGATGGAAGGTGCTGGCAGGGTGCTGTCCATAGCTTTCTAAAAACATCACCTCACTATGCGTCAGTATTCATCTCAAGTGGCCCTGAACTAAGTATTGGTGGGCTCTATTTTTGGGGGGTGTTATGATAAATGGCCCTCCCCCGAACAGGATATTACACTATGCCTGTAGGTAAAATAAGAGAACCAGAACCTTCTCTAAGTGGAAGAGTGGGTTTGATAAGTTGGCAGTGACTCCACCCAGTACAGGGCCTCTGTGAACAGAGGGGATTCTTTTCTTGGGATATTAACTGGTAATCTAATCAAAGTAATTGGGAGCAGAGAAACTACTGCAGTCAACATACAGTATAACATTAACCATAAGTATACAGATGCACAGCAGTATGGAAATAATACAAACATTATATACTAAGAGATTAATAATAGCACGTACATCCAATATGCAAACAAGTATTAAGAGCAAAGGGTCCAACATTATTATTACATTTTTATTATTGAGACCTGAGCTAAAATTAGCTATAGAATCCCAGACCAGAAGAGACAGGGTTAACTAAATTAACAGGTGGTGTATATAAACTCTATTCCAATAGACAGGTTCACCTTCTAACATACAAAAATGTGACCACTACACTCAGATTCTCTCTTCACTTCCTCCTTCTGGTGTTCCAACCAACTGCCCAATGATAGGAAGCAGTGGTGTATTTTGGTTTTGTGCTGCTCTAGGCAAGACTAAAATCATCTAAATTTTGTTCAGTCCCTTCCTGTTTAAGAGCCACCCCTTCAGGACAGAATAAGAGGGAGGCAGGAGGACGGCAGCAGGAGAGGGGTGTGCAGCAGAACAGAGGGGCCGCAGGACAAGAGGGGGCAGTGGGATGGGGGGCAAAGGACAGGGGGGCCATGGGACAGTAGGGGGGCAGCAGGACAGGTGGGGGGCAGCGGGGCAGGAGGGGGCAGCAGGACAGGTGGGGGGGGCAGCAGGAAAGGAGGGAGGCAACATTACAGGAGGGAGCAGTGGGACGGGGGCAGCAAGATAGGGGAGGAACAGGATAGGGGCAGAGGGACAGGAGGGGGCAGTGGGACAGGAGCAGAGCAGTGGGACAGGAAGGAGGCAGCATGACGGAGGGGTTGCAGGGCAGGAGGGGGCAGCAGGACAGGTGGAGGGGCAGTGGGACAGGAGGGGTGCAGTGGGACAGGAGGGGGCAGCAGGACAGGAGGGGGCAGCGTGATGGAGGGAAGGCATGATAGGGGGCAGCTTGAAAGGAGGGGCAGTGTGACAGAAGAGGGGAAGCACCAGTCTTCCAAGCTCTTACTTCCTTCAGTGGCTCCTCTAGATGGTGTCAGGATCTGGTGCCAGGACTCCCATCTCCACCAGGATCTCTGGCAGAAGCTTCAATAAGGAGGGGGGCTTCTCCACCCTGACCTCATCCTTCTTCCTCCTCCTCCCCAGGCCCTTTGCTGGCACCCCCTGGCCTCACCCACCCCAGGGGCGGACTGACCATTTGGAAACTCAGGCACTACCCGAGGGCCCGGGGTCAGTAGGGGGCCCCATGAGATGCCCCTGGTACCTTTTTCATAGGCTTTTTTGAGTTTGGGCAAGGACACAGGGGCCCCATGGTCCCCTATTGCCCAGGGGCCCCATGAGTTGTCAGTCCACCCCTGACCCACCCCTCACAGCCCAGCGCACACTGTAGATTCTGACTGGAGCCTGCCTGACCACTCCTGCACACACCCTGGATCTGCAAACCATTCTGCCCTTCTCTACAGCCAGTCCTCCTACTTGTGTGTCGGCTGACCCGCCTGATGGCGGCCCTGCTGCTCACACCCACGTGTGTCCTTTTTGCCAGAGGGTGGCGCTGCCCCCCCCCCCCCCCCCGTAAAATGCCGTCCAAGGAAAAAACCATGTTTGCCTCATGGTATATATGCCCCTGACAGGAAATGCTATACATAATTAATTCTGTAAATGAAAGGGCCCCAGGGACGTTAAGTAAGGTTGGAGATGCAATTGAAATCAGAGTAAGCAATTTTAATACAGGAGAGGAGCCCGTACAAGTGTGCAAAAACTAGCAGTAAGCTTGGAGTGCAGGGGCTTTAGGAAACTAGAACACCTGAAATAACCCCACAGACATGAGCAAAACAAACAACATGCAGGTTTTAATTTTTCCATTTTAGTGTTCTCTGCATTAATTTCTCAGCCATCGATAGCCATTTAAAAAAGGCACACAGCCATACTTGATTAGAAAAAAAAAAATAAAAATATATATATAATTATAGGTTATAATAAATATAGCATAAACAATTGCGTGTAATATATATTGTATATTGAATGTCAATAGGCCTTAAAACAAGACCTGTCTCAACATGGATACAAGTTGATGGTGTACAGACCTCCCCCTGAAAATGCTCATTTCCTACTTGTGTGATTGGCTTACAGTATATGTAATGTTTGCACTTAAGATACAAATCTTTTTTGGCAAAAGAAACACAAATGTCAAAAAAAAAAAAAAAATATGGTGAGATATTCCCAAAGGAAAATCATGTCTAAAGGGATGCAAACCCTGCCACTTTCCTCATTACAGCCCTGCAGTAGCTGATTGATATTTATAAAACCACTCTCATACAGCTTCACTCTGCACATGGATGCAGACAAACAAACAGCTCTTGTATTTCTTCAGAATAACAACAAGTAGGAATCTGCAACAAAGATTGTTAAAATCCTTGCTACGTACATAGATCCCCCAGAGGAGAATGTTTTTTTTCTCAGTAAAAGTGGAGTTACTCTTTGAAGTATCATTTTTAAAGATACATTTGTCTTTTTGGTAACAATTTCTCTAAATGGAAAATAAAATGCATTATATATTATTACGTTAATATGTTTTTTTTTTTTGTTTTTGTAAGTTTGTTAAGGGCTATTATTTTATAGCTTTGTTTTACAAATTAAAATGCAATCCATAACAAAGGCCTCAAGGAGCATTATGGGTCATCTAAAGAGATAGCTTAGTAGCTTGCTTAAGTGCCATCTTGAGCTTTGTCAATAAAATGATTGCTTAGAAAACATGAAAAGGAGACAAGAGCTCTACCTTCTGCATGCATATGATGAGCATACAAAACATAAATATACAATTATCTTATACTAAATAAAAATTAAATAAAAAAAGTTTAAGTCAAATGCATCACAATTTCTCCTTGAGAAATATTAGTAACATCTAAATATTTTCTATACAAGACAACATATGTCACATATTTTGTCAAATTATTTAACTTAAATGTGTAACTCTACAATTTCTTAGTTATTTAGATATACAGGATACAAAATTAAACATTGCCCTGATATCATCTTTTTTTTCATTTAGTGATCTAATTCTTGGGCTATTTCCATGATACACATCATGATTCAGAGCATGTGGTTCTTGTATTGTGCGCTAATTTACTATCCGTGATCCAACATATGAAACAAGACTGAGGTAATATGACACTTTAAAGGTTATGTCATGGTTGGATCATATCCTGTCTATTCCTCCTTGCCAGCAAGCCATTCCTGAAAACTCCATGAGTAATATGTTGAAGAAATCTGTTCAACTTCTGTTCTGATTGTTACCTGATAAATCATTCATAACTTTTTACCGTTTCCTCTATTAAGCTACAAGTTTATTCATATTAGATGATGATTTTCTCACATTAGAGAATTTTGGTTCTTATTTTGACCCTCCTAAATAAGTGTCTGTAAAAAAACACCTTGATGCTTAGAGTCAATAAAACCTGCATGATGCATTAAAAATCTTGGGATGATTATTTTCCTTACCTGCTTGGAATTTTAATACCTGATTTCCATATTTAATGGCATTTACCTAGAAATCAATGCTACTCTTTTAGGATTTTTTATGTATTAGCTTTCCAGAAACATTGCTTGATCTCTCTTTTTTTCTTTAGTTTTGGATAGACTAGGGCAGTGTTCGAACCTCTGCCCACCAAGGAGATCCAAACTCTCCATTTGTCTTGGTGACCTCCATCCCTGGTGATGATAGGAAATTCTAGATTTTACATTTTTCACCAAAACACAAGGTGAAGAGAAATCTTCCATAGAAGGAAATACATACACAACTTTCTAAGAGGAGATTTACCCTTACTGTGCAAACGCTACCACTAACTTCTTGTTGTATGTCTAGGAAAGGATGTGAATGGAAATTTCTCAAAAGGGACACAGAGAACAAAAACATACAGTGCCTGGCTGTATGATATTTGTATGACATTCCATTTGAGCCACATGTGTTGGGAGATTCACAAATACAATTAGAATACAATTTTCTCCCATATAACTGCTAATCTCCTGATTGCGATTTCACATGTGGATGAAAATAATATGTATGCTCCTCATGGATTTGTTAATAACATTTACATACTAGATAACTATATTTATAGCTTACATGTGGTCGCTGGGAATTTTTTTTTCACATTTACAATACATATACATATTTTTCTTTTACAATGGATTTTATTATAGAAGAGACATCAGAGAAGCAGTCATAAACAAGATCATTGACCAACGAAAAAAGGACATACAAGTTTTCTGATGAATAGTACAATAAATGAACTGGAGTATAAACAAAGGAATAAGAGTACACAAGCGCAGTATATGAAGAGATAAAATAAAACATGATAGTTTGCAAAAATGGCAGGCAGTTAGAGACCAATGAATAATGCAGGCCATAGACGGCTCAAAAAAACCGCGCGTTTTTTCGAACGATAAAGGAAAAATCGGTCGTTCGATAAACCAACGTTACCACACCGACGATTACAAAAATCGGCCGACCAAGTCATAAAGTTCACCCCATATAACAGCCAAAACTTCTGTTCCTTCCAGGTCATGCGCATATTTTTTTTTTGCATTAAAGCGATCATACGATTTGGCCATCATTGCCGCAAAAATCGGTCGTTTTCCACAAATTTTCCAACATGACCGATAATCCAAAAGTGCAAAAAAAACCAGAAACCCGGCCAACAAATTAACTCACTAACAGCGTGAAAATCGGCCGATTAATCTTTCGGCGAAAAATCGGTCGATTTTCGAACCATTTATAGCCGGCATTAGTAAACAAAGAGCCAAGATTATCACAAACAGAATGCAGGAAAAATAAAACACGGAGCCTGACTGAATACACATTGGTACTCCACACCCAGGACTCCCAAGGAAGTCCAACAGATCGATATAAATATTGCTGGTACAGTTCTTACAAAAAAAGTCACAATCAGCACAAATATCATGAAAACAGGCAAAATAGAGAAGAGAAAGGGAGAAACGCAGAAAGAAAAGACAAAGGACAAAGAACAAAGAAAGGGCTCCAGGAAAAAAAAATATCGACAAAAGGGCCTGGTCAAATCTAGACAGTTGGGCTATATCAAGCTAGGGCACCAAATCTGCAGAAACTTCGTATGAGTGTCTAACAGCATAGCCGTTCAGTTTCTCATTAACCATTATAAAATTCATCCGATTTTTGACTGCTTCGAAGCTGAGGAGGGGGGGTCTGCCAAGCACTGGCGATCGTTAGTTTGGTAGCCATGAATAGATGTAATGCCAACTGCCGCTCAAGACGGAGTAGGCCCACTAATGGTTTAAATAATAGCGCCTCGTATGGCTTGCGCTTAATGTTTGTGTGAAACAGTGTGGTGAAGGTCGTAAACCATGATCCACAGTCTGCAAACCTTGGGGCAAGTCTGCCAAATATGGGCCATGGTGCCTATTTGTTGACAACCCCGAAAGCAAGTCGGGGAGTATGCAGGGATAAAACGAGCCAGACGGGCAGGCATGTAAATACCATATTTTTCTATGGTTTTGTCACATACACAATAAGATATTTGAAGAATACTTAGAATTTATCACACATTTTAAAATTTCAAAGTAAAGCATTATTCTCATATCTATTAGTGATTCATAGAGCTACTTTACAGAATACTTATTGCATGATATGGATATAGGAATCTTTTTCTTTATCTGCACAGATTGATTTGTAGTGGGAGGGGAGTGTTAGTAGGATATATGACAATGTTCTCATTTTTTTATTGATGTGGGTGGTGGATGTGATTTTGTTTTCATTATTGTGGTAGCATTTAAATTAACGATTTTTTTTATTATTTCCAGTCTTCATTTGTTTAAAGGATAAGTCCACCTTTTTGACAAAAATAATAAATGCACATTTTTTGCAGGTAAAAAAAATGTGCATTTATTATTTTAGTCTGCAGGATCCCGGAAAGCATTGCCGCAGAGATCAGCAGATCGCTGATTCCATGCAGGTCTCCTGCAGATCTGTCAGAATATCTTGCTTGCCATACGGGATGTATGAACAAGCAGATATACTGACAGGAAGCTTCAATGAACTACCACAACGCTCCACAGCCCCATGGTAGTTCATTGAAAACTACAAGATGACAGCCGCTAAGGACTTGTGGACACTCATTTAAAGAACTCTGTGAATGAGTGATGCGGCCATGTGGGCGGAGCCCCGCATAGTTTCGCTGTTTTCCAATCTGACAGATAGTACAGGGAAACTTGAACATGTTGTAAGGAAGCCTGTCCAAAATGTGGAATATAACCTCTTATACTTTTGAATATATTTTTTACAGTTCTCCCCAGTGTTTCCGTCTTTTTTCCCTAATAAATGGCTTGTAACTATTACCTATTCTAGTCAAGATAAAAGTTTTTTTTTAACTACAGATACATTTTAATTATTACTTTCAGACTTCATTTGACTACATTCAAAATTGCAATGTGCATACTGAAATATGATCTTCATTTTACTCAGATCTTCTTTTCACTATTTTTGCATATCAACTATCTTGTTAATCTTGGGCAAGCTCCCCTTAGACAGTCAACCACAGCAACATTTTATTAATTTACAAAGTCTCTCCTACCATAAGTACTAAAATCATTTCAATTTCTGAGCTGCATAATATACAGTATATCACAATTCAACAGTAAGACTAATATCTTACACATAACTTTGAACACTATGAAATTTAAATGTGAAGTCAAGGTATAGACAACTGCAAACCTACCAAGACATGGCCGTCCACCTAAACTGACAGGCCGGACAAGGAGAGCATTAATCAGAGAAGCAGCCGAGAGGCCTATGGTAACTCTGGAGGAGCTGCAGAGATCCAAAGCTCAGGTGGGAGAATCTGTCCACAGGACAACTGTTAGTCAGGCAATCCACAAATCTGGCCTTTATGGAAGAGTGGCAAGAAGAAAGCCATTGTTGAAAGAAAGCCATAAGAAGTCTTGTTTGCAGTTTGCGAGAAGCCATGTGGGGGACACAGCAAACATGTGGAAGAAGGTGCTCTGATCAGATGAGACTAAAATTTAACTTTTTGGCCTTAAAGCAAAATGTTATGTGTGGCGGAAAACTAACACTGCACAGCACCCTGAAATCACCATCCCCACCATGAAACATGACGGTGGCATCATGTTATAGGAATGCTTTTCTTCAACAAGGACAGGGAAGCTGGTCAGAGTTGATAGGAAGATGAATGTAGCCAAATACAGGGCAATCTTTTAAGAAAACCTATTAGAGTCTGCAAAAGGATTGAGACTGGGGCTGAGGCCTTCCAGCAGGACAACGACCCTAAACATACTGCCAGAGCTACAATGGAATGGTTTAGATCAAAGCATATTCATTTGTTAGAATGGCCCAGTCAAAGTCCAGACCTAAATCCAACTGAGAATCTGTGGCAAGACTTGAAAAGTACTGTTCACAGAAGCTCTCCATCCAATCTGACAGAGCTTGAGCTATTTTGCAAAGAAGAATGGGCAAAAATGTCCCTCTCTAGACATGCAAAGCTGGTGGAGACATCCCCAAAAAGACTTGCAGCTGTAATTGCAGCAAAAGGTGGTTCTACAAAGTATTGACTCAGGGAGGCTGAATACAAATGCGCCACACTTTTCACATATTTATTTGTAAAAAATGTTGAAAACCATTTATCATTTTCCTTCCACTTCACAATTATGTGCCACTTTGTGTTGGTCTATCACATAAAATCCCTATAAAATACATTTATGTTTTTGGTTGTAACATGACAAAATGTGGAACATTTCAAGGAGTATGAATCCTTTTTCAAAGTACTGTAGCTAGAGAACTGTAAGCTAGAGAACTGACCATGGCATATTCTTCTACTTAGTGTGGTCAGTTTTTAAAAGGAACGCAGAGGGACTGGCAGGAACACAATGGGTTTCACACAAAGGAAGCAATACAAGAGAACAGGATAGTTTTTCATACAAGTACATGGTACAGCAGGCACATATCAGGAATATGAAATGTTGGGTTTACAGTACATACAGTACATACTCTTTAAGCCCCTGATTAATGTATTACTTCTCGCTGAATGACATGTCCTACATATCACATTTATTTCAAAGAACACCTAATGTACATTAACACACAATTGTACAACATTAGTTATTTCATTAGCAGTGTACAACGACATTACATGCATATTACATGACAGTAAAAATAATCCAAAGATGATGTATTCAGCCAGTGAGCACATCCAATCTTTAGGGATACCATGTACAGGTGCACAGAAAAGTAATTGGGAAGATGCTGACTATCAGTTCATATGCACAGCTGCTCCCATAGGGTTGCACATGCCAAGGATATGTCAGACATGCTTCACTGGAAACAGGTTTAACTGAAACTTTGAACAGAATTATGAAACAAGAAAGAAGAAGCAAGGGGCAACCTAGAACAGTTCAATCACATTTTTTCAAATACACCATATCAAAGGTTTTACAAGAGAATATAGCCATCCTAAGTCCCCTACCAGACTTCATTAGAACTCTTTTCTTGGATTGTCGCACGCTTCACAGTCCACTGGACAAGTTAAAATTGATAGAACACTTATTATATTCACTATTATATTATTATGAAACATTACAGTGGAAAGGGTTAACATTTTATTAGCAATTGGTTTATAAGAAAGGATTACATAGACAGGTTGGTAAGGGTGATAAGGCCCAAACCTGAATATTCAATTTTCTAGGATTTTTCTATTTTATATAATGCTGACGCTTTTTCAAGAACTCTAGTCTTTACATTCATTGACACAAAAATTGACACATTTATACACATATAATCAAATCTATGTGGTCCAAAAAACCTTAAAAATGGATATATACAGAGATAGCTCTTTTCCCCACACTTGGTTAGAATTTGTGTGCAAAATATATCATGGGGGGATTTTGCCTTTGTGTGCGCAACGGAGGGTAGGCAGGACAGAACACACAAGGCGGATAGTAAACAAACAAAGCAAAATGACAGTCACTCAATAGGGGGGATTGCGAGGGGGTGACCTCGCCACTAGGGAAATAGTAAGGAGAGGGCAAAAAGCACTTGTAGTCCAGCCCCAGGGACAAAGTTAAAGTCTCTGCAGCAGTTATAATCCCACAGTGAGGTAGAGGCACAGTTCAAGAACAGTCCAGGTGGAGGTTCAATTGAGTTTTTGGGGTTGTTTTGCTGCAGCACTGGTGATCCATTGACGTGTCAAGGCAATCATGAAATCTGAGGATTACCTGGTTTGGTGCGTCCAAAGATCCTGGTGCACGAACAATGACCCCAAACATAAATACGTCAAAAAGCAGCTCAGAAATGATGCAGAGCAAAACAGGGGGAGTAGGTACTCACGGATCCAACAGGGTGCCTGGTCTCCCAGGGAACAAGATAGTGT